TATTTACCTCTGAAGCCCGAGGCCGTTACGTCTGCTGGTTCCTGTGAGCGCGTTGCAGAGAGATGTTGGCGAGTTGCGTCAGACGAGGCGATGAGAGAGGGAGAGAGAGGGAGTTAAACTGAAGCAATCAGTGAATTTGATGATATCAAACCGTTTCCCTCTCTTTGATTCACCAACACGTGTTTATGTTGCATTGTCTCAACGCTGCGGCGACGTGCGGGGAACAGATCTCAGCCACTCTCACAGGAGAGAAACGTCAGATTACTAATGAATGATCGGGCGCAGACGTGAACCTCGGTCCTCTTGCGTCAAAGAATAACATTTATCCTTTATCAGTCATGCAGAAATCCACACCTGGACTTTCTGGCTCGGAGCGCGGACACAGAACGTAAATCACTAAAGTGGAAGAAAAACACGCCGAATGTGATTTGTTGAAGACCGGGCGGTGCTGTGACGGCGAGTATCAGAAGGGAAACGATCAGAGAGAGACACACAGGGAAGAGGGGGAATGTGTGTGTAGCGTGCAGTATCCACACACACACACACATACACACACACACAGACATACACACACAGACACACAGGGAAGATGGGGAATGTGTGTGTAGCGTGCAGTATCCACACACACACACACACACACTCACACACACACACACAGACATACACACACAGACACACAGGGAAGAGGGAGAATGAGTGTGTAGCGTGCAGTATCCACACACACACACACACACACACACACACACAGGGAAGAGGGGGAATGAGTGTGTAGCGTGCAGTATCCACACACATACACACACACAGACAGACATACACACACCCACCTACACACACACACACACACACACATCTTTTAAAATATCCGCTCTTTCATTCGTACACACAAACGTCTGACATCACTGCAGCTGCGGTAAAAACCTGATCCTGTACAGTGGTCCTCTACTCAAATAAACTGTGGTCTCTCCCTCTCTCCCTCCCTCTCTTTCTCTCTCTCTCTCTCTCACACTCACACACACTCACACACACACACACACACACACACACACACACACATAATTGGAATCAGGTTCCTCTGAGGCGGCCGTACAGTCATAGCGGCAGCGGTGCTCACTTGTGACTCTAAGTGGGTTGAACAGTCGACAAAGTTTAATTTCTTACATCAGCAGTCGAGCAAAGAAGCTCTTGGGGTCATGTCTGAGTTCACATGTCACAGTATCCATGGATTCAGGTACAGCTACACTAACAACAACCCCCCTCCCCAAAATGAATGTCCTGACAAACAGTGAATGAAGAGAAGAATCTGTAAGACAAACACAGTGACCTCAGTGCTCAGCAAAGACAACTTGTTTAGTTTCGTACTCTGTATAGGAAGTAGTCCTCACCGCGTCTTATCGTCCCTCACATTATCATACTGTATAAAGATGGACTATATGCCTCCTCCTCCTCCTGCTGTACAAGATTGAAGCCAAAATATGCTGCAAACAAATGCCTTCATTGTCAGGGAAATGTCACAAGGGCGTTAATATCACTGCTTGAATCGGGGGTCTGAATAGGGCTAGAGACTCGTGAGAGTTAGTCTTTGTGATATTTTTAACTTGATACAGAAAAAAAAACACAATAAATTCTTAACCACCACACACACACACACACACACATAATGTACAGACACACACACCACTGTGTGTACCCTAACCCTAACCCACATTGGCTGTGCAGGTAGACGTCTGTGTTCAGGGTGAAACCTGCTGAATGCAGTTTGGGAATTTACAGAGGTTGAGTGGAACAAGACGAGATTTACAACACACACACACACACACACACACACACACACACACAGTGGTGACTTGTTAATGGCGATGCTGAATTTAAGAAGGGAAAATAATTCCCCCCAGCTTTTTCCGACCTTCCATGACCTCCTCTCCCTTCCTCTCATTTCACTTTTCTTCTCTGAATGTCTCGTCTATGATACAGTATTTAATACGTTTATATTATTTAATCTCCTTTATCTCGTTAATACGTCGTGTGAGCTCAGTCAGATCTGCACAAAGTAAACCTCCGAGTCTTTTAATGAACGGTTCCTGCTGCTCTCCGTTCACTAAACATCGTCCACACTCAACCGTTTTCCAAAGCACACCGCACTGTTTTGATTTTTAATGTGTTTTTTCCGTCCTCTAACGCAGCCAGCTCTTTCATTCATTTCATGTATGTTGTGAAATTGAAGTTGGAGCGACTTGAAACCTGCCTGAGTTGGGCAATCCATCACAGTGTACATCACGTCTGCCTCGATTACATTCAGAGTGACTTTTAAATGCCGTGGTGGGGCGGCTCACAACGTCACAAACCCAAAGAATGTGTGATATGTAGAAAACAAGCCGAGTATGCTCAGGGTCGGTCTGTCTCCAACCATACAGAGATTATTATACACACACACACATATATATATATATATATATATATATATATATATATATATATATATATATTTTATTATTATTATTATTATACAGAGACATTTTTAAGGTTTCCATATCATCAAACGGGCTGCAAGGTGCGGCAGTGGTTATCTCTGTCCCCTCACAGCGAGGAGGTTCCTGGTTTGAATCCCCATCTGACAGGACTCTCTCTGTGAGGAGTCTGTATGTTCTCTCGGTGCATGTGTGGGTTCTCTCCGGGTACTCCGTCTTCCTCCCACAGTCCAAAGACATGCTCGTTAGGTTAACTGCTGACTCTAAATTGTCCGTAGGTGTGAATGTGAGTGTGGCTGGTTGTCTGTCTCTATATGTCAGCCCTGTGATTGGCTGGTGAATAGTCCAGGGTGTAACCCCGCCTCTCAACCAATGACAGCTGGGATCGGCTCCAAGCGCCCCCGAACTGGAAAAGCGGCATAGATAATAAGTGAATGGATGGATGTTATCATACATACATGTGTAGATGTGAACACAACCGCGCTCAAACAAGGAAGTGGACCGCCACATAAGGTAAATCTAAACGTCTCCTGTCGCTTCAAGAAACGTTGTAGCCGTGCAGCACGGCCACGTTTCCTCCTTTGACCTGCTCTGTGGGTGTGGACATATAGGAACAGGGTCGTTGTTGGCGTCTCAGGAAATAACATAAACATCCACAGTTATCAGGAAGGACTCTGTCTGCAAGTGGTTGCCATGGTTACTTCTTCTTCTTTCTGCTTTTTTGTGGATTTGCAAACCAACTATGTGCATACCGCCCCCTGCTGCATCAGACTGTGTACTCGAGTACTGAACGATGATACTGATGTGAGCGCAGTCCAGTTGGGGACGGTACGAAACACTCGTGGCTAATGTGAAAGCGCCCTTATTCTAAGAACCATAAAGCGCTGTGTGCAGAGGGGTCTACATTCAGACATATTGTGTGTAAAGCTCCCGCTCTGCTGCACGTTGTCTTCATGTTTAAACACATCCAGATAGAAGGCGTTTCAGACTGAAAGTGGACCTTTGTTCTGATTCTCTGTTTTCATTGGCCCGCCGTCTTCTCTGCCTCCCTTCATGTATTCAAAGCAAATTGAATTATTCACATAATTATACAATAATTGCACGTATGGAATAGAAAGGTGCACGGTAGTTGTGGGTAATTATTAATATCTGTAAGAACCTGGAACATTCCCTCCCTCCCACCTTCTGTTATTTTCTCTTCCACTCTTTCTCTCACGCCGGTTTATTTCCACTCGTTTCTCTGCCCACCCCCCACCCCCCACCCTCCGGTCTTCCCCCTCTCCTGTCCTTAGCTCTCCTGGTTCCCTCGCTCCATCTCGTCTTAACAACTGTTTTCCTCCATCACTTCTTTCCCTCGCTCTGTTATTCTAGCTAAGTGTAGATTTCTGCCAAGCTCAGCAACTGCTTAAGCTCAGGACATAGTTTGAGTTGGCGTTCTCTCTCCTCCTCTCTCTCTCTCTCTCTCTCTCTCTCTCTCTCTCTCTCTCTCTCTCTCTCTCTCTCTCTCTCTCTCTGTCCTCCTCCCCCACCTCTGTCTCTCTCTCTCTCCTCCTCCCCTCTCTCTCTCGCTGTCTCCCCCCCTCTCTCTCTCCTCCTCCCCTCTCTCCTCTCCTCTCCTCTCTCTCTCCCTCTCCTCTCTTTCTCCTCCTCCTCCTCTTTCTCTCTCTCTCTCTCTCGTCACCCCTCTCTCTCTCTCCTCTCTAAATTTCCTCCCGGACTTTGCACAAAAACTTCCTTTTCTCTTCCACAAACACCTCTCCAGACTGGTTGTTGATGTTGGGTCTCTAGTGTCGATGTAGCTCTCAGATACTCGTGTAATCTGAATATCTGTTGACTGTGTTAACAAATGTTGACCTGACTGCTGTTTGGAGAGAAAGCCTGAAGAAAAACAAAAAACGATGTGCTGACCTTGTTTGATTCGGTGTAGGGGAGCTTGGCGGACAAAGACGCAAGTTAAAGGGGGAAGTGAGGAGAGACTTAGAGGTAGATCTTCAGGAAAAGAAGTTAAAGAATGACAGTGGCTGAGAGCATTATCATGAGTGATCGTAGGGTTAGCTGTAAGATCTGAGCCATCAGTAGAGGCTGTTCAGGAGGAGCAATAACAAACGTTTATATGCGTCGTTCATCTTCTCTGTGTAAGTAATCCCAGGTTTTAAAAGTGAAGTGAAAGTGCTAGAACCTGCATATTAAAAACGTCCAGTAGGGGGCGACACCACTGCTTCAACAGAGCTGCACCCTCCTGCTCCAAGTTTTCAACCCCGGGGCTTCAAAAAATGTTTTCTCAACCCACTGGTTGACATGGTGGTGGCTACGTCTCCTTCTTATTCACAGTCTGTGCTGTTAAAGTAGATCCAGATAATGTAGAAGTTATTACCTAACAGTTACCCTTTGCAGAGGAGGTCAAGCTGCTGCTGCTGCTCAGTCGCTCTGCAAGAAAAGAGAGAAAGGATTTAGAACATGAGGCACAAAAACTAAGCGTAAAAACAGGTCGTAAATACATTTTTAAGTTTTGAAGTATTTTCTGTTTGTCAGGAGTTCCTCGGGTTCATCAGACCAGGTTCAGTCTTCCTCTGGCGTTGGTGTGTGTTCCTTCATCTCCGGCCAAAAACACCAAATTTAAGATCACTGTGGATACCAACCAGCCTCCGATTGAGCTCAGCTCCATCTTCCCAGGTAATTTACACACACACACACACACACACACACACACTTACAGAGCTCTAATGCTTAAATCAGAAAGAGGTACCAGAACACACTCTGAGCTCCGAGCTGACAGGTGAGTGTTGAGTGGCAGAGAGTGTGTGTGTGTGTGTGTGTGTGTGTGTGTGTGTGTGTGTGTGTGTGTGTGTGTGTGTGTGTGTGTGTGTGTGTGTGTGTGTGTGTGTGTGTGTGTGTGTGTGTGTGTGTGTGTGTGTGTGTGTGTGTGTGTGTGTGTGTGTGTGTGTGTGTGTGTGTGTGTGTGTGTGTGTGTGTGTGTCTCCTCTCTGTTTCTCAGTTATCTCATAATCGGCTACAATCAGCAGCTCCGACGTCTAAACACACAAACACACACTCTGGTCGTACTGAGTGTGTGTTTTGGGATTTGTGAAATCTCCTGCCGGCTATTCATTGTGTCTTTGTGAACCATGCGACTGTATCTTGTTCTCCTTTGTTGGCGTCTTGCATCATGATAGTCAGTCCAATCTGTCTCATCACAAATCTCTCTGTCTCTCTCCCTCTCCCTCTCTCTCTGTCTCTCCCTCTCTCCCTCTCTCCCTCTCTCTCTCTCTCTCTCTCTCTCTCTCTCTCTCCCTCTCCCTCTCTCTCTGTCTCGCTCTCCCTCTCTCTGTCTCTCCCCCTCCCTCTCCCTCTCCTCTCTCTCTGTCTCTCCTCTCTCCCTCTCTCTCTGTCTCTCTCCCTCTCTCCCTCTCTCCCTCTCTCTCTGTCTCGCTCTCCCTCTCTCTGTCTCTCCCCCTCTCTCTCTCTTCTCTCTCTCTCTCTCTGTCTCTCTGTCTCCCTCTCTCCCTCTCTCTCTCTCTGTCTCTCTGCCTCTCTCTCTCTCTCTCTCTCTCTGTCTCTCTGCCCCTCTCTCTCTCTCTCTCTCTCTCTCTCTCTCTGTCTCTCTGCCTCTCTCTCTGTCTCTCTGCCTCTCTCTCTCTCTCTCTCTCTCTCTCTCTCTCTCTCTGCAGAGTTTGCAGCAAAATCTGAAGATAAGGATGCTAACGGTTTGGCTTTCCAGTTCCTGTCAGGAGCCAAAGTCACCGTTCTGGCCTCTAAGACTTCCCGTGAGTCGCACAAACAGAAAATCACGATCGGCCCATCTCTCATAATAACACAACGTGTGTGTTACTGATCTAACTACTACTGCTGGCCTTTTCTTTAACCATTATGACAGATGGTTCCTAAGCCGTCTTTGTGTTTTCTTGGTGTGTTGTGTTTTAATGTCTCTCACTATCTCGTGTGTTTCCTGGTTGTTTCCGTCAGAGCGTTACCGTCTTCAGAGCGACACTTTTGAGGACATCTGGTTGGTGGTGAAGGAGCTGGTCCAGAGATTTGACAAACATTTCCACAAACTGGGAGTCAAAGACTTTAAGAAAAGCTTCAGTGGGCCGCTCCCGCTGCAGGACTACTTCCTGTCTGTAGACCAGCACTTCCAGGTAAAAGATACCAGGCGGCGAGCTCGAACACAACACACCAACACGTTCTGGTTTAAAAGAGAAGTCTTCTTTCAAGTGGAGACCGACATCTGCTGCTGTTTCATCTCTGCCCCGTGTGTGTGTGTGTGTGTTTGTGTGTGTGTTAGCTGCGTGTCGGTGCTCAGCAGTACCAGGACCTGCTGTCAGAGCGGCGGTCCAGTTCAGAGCCATCCAGCGCCGCCTGCTGACTCGATTCAAAGACAAAACCCCGGCACCTCTGCAGAATCTGGACACACTGCTGGACGCTACCTACAGCCAGGTCAGTCTCACTCACACACACACACACACACACACACACACACACACACACACACACACACACACACACACACACACACACACTCACACACTCACACACTCACACATAATGTGTTACAGTCGCGCTTGTACCCCTCGACCTGAGTTAGACCTCGTCTCGCTCTCTGTTAAAATGGAGCTTTCACACTTTCACTGAACTCTTGAATCTTCCTGAAATATCTGCAAACACATGAATGTTTCACCTTGAGTCACAAGCAGGAGGAGGGATGACATTAATATCTGCACGACCATAGACTGTCTGCACATGACCCACGTGATGAAACTGCTTCTGCTCTTTTGTCGATATTTTAAATATGTTGAACTTCACAGAGCGTCATTATGAAAGTAATTTACTCATTCAAAGTATCTGAGTCTGTTACTTCCTCCTCGTTCTCTTTAGTCATGACCTGACTCCTGAGACCCCCCCTCATGTCCGACAGGGAGAGTCTCCTGCTGTGAGGGTCAACTCAGGGAAGATTTCAGACTGCAAAGTTTTTTTTAGTTCATGTGTGAAAGTGGACGTGTGTGTGTGTGTTCAGTGTAAAGCTGATTTTAAAACTAAGCAGGTGTTAAGTTTTGTCTCCTTTGTTTAACTTTGACGTATGTGAGTTAGCAAATGCATGAAGTGTATCTGCATAACTGTGTGTGTGTGTTTAAGTGTGTGTGCGTGTCTGTGTTTAAGTGTGTGTGTGTCTGTGTTTAAGTGTGTGTGTGTGTGCGTGCGTGTGTGTGTGTGAGGTTCAAAGTGATGGTCCCTTGCCCCTGGTGTTTTCTCCAGAGGCCGACTTGGCGCTCATCAGCTCCACCGTCCATTAGCTTCTCATTAGCGTAGCGAGGCGGCGTGACTTCATCTGGTGGTGAGCCGTTAAAGCTGTCAGTGCGTCACCGCTTGGCTCGCTGTGATCAGCTCCCGCTTACACATTCATCCGCTCCACATTTACTTTAAGAGTTCAGAGACTACAGCTTAACGAGAGGAAATAAACAAGCTCGTTGAAGCTAACCCAAATAATCAGAGTTCACGTAACGTTAGCTCGTCAGTCGCCATGACCGCCTATCAGGCAGCGCCTCATTATCGTCTCGCTCTGTTTAATGACCAGTTAACCCTTTCATCAGCAGCTTTAGTTCTTCCTTTCATACTTAATCACACGTGTTGTTTTAGTCTCGCCTGACAGAAATTAAAAAATAAAAACAATCAAAATAAAGGTGATGAAGATCCTGCAGCGGCGTGTCAGGAAAACAGCTGGAACCATTAAGAAATACTAATCACAGAGCTTTCTTCTGGATCCATATCATATGGCATACGGGCAGATTTCCCACCACACAGCACCTGCGTCACCTGAAAGCTACGAGGCACAGAGACTGAGAGCCAACGTTTACACCAAACGCTCCAGTTCCGTTTGGTACTCGTTTATCGGTGTTTCCAAAACAACTGATCCGTACATTCCTTTTTGTTAGGGTGCAAAGCATCCTGATCGGACCCTAAAGGGCGGAGCTAGACACCCTGCAGTCTTCTGATTGGTCAAAAGAATCGTCACTTCCTGGGCAACAGCAGGATATTGAAGGACAAACACAAAATGGGGCATGTTTCAGTATCCTGTTGATTTCAAAGTTGTTTTTGTTTTTTGTCAGCGTGTAGCTCCGCCTCATGGACGACCTCGGAGGTGCAGACCTCTGCTGGACGTCCTCCATTGTTGCCCTTTGTTTACTGTTGCCACCATCTTCAAACCCCGGAGGAGGGGCCTAGTTTGAATGTTGTGTTGACATAACTCCTGACTCCACCTTGAAGGTTTTAGTAACTTGTAAAACATCATCATCAGATTGTGTTCGATATGACGGAAGGAGGTTGAAAACTGTAAACAGACTTCATGTTCTCTTAAAAGACTCGAGGACGAGTGAGCTGCGTCTTTAAAAAATAGCCCAACAACTCAGAGTTCCTCTGAAGTGATCTTTGTACTGGATGTGTAATCTTCCCTCTAAAAGTCTGAAAGCTTCAAACTCTTATCGTCTCTGGCCGTGCGGGTCGTATGACCTGTCAGGCTGTTCTCGTCTCTCTCCGTCTGACGTGAAGCTCTGATATCACGACTGCATCCTGCAGCTAATGCTTTCTGCTGTCACTCCTGTCCATCACATGTTCCCTCCATCCTCTCTCTATCCTCCATCCTCTTTCTCTCTCTCTCGCTCTCCTCTCTCTCTCTATCCTCCCTCTATCCTCTCCTCTCTCTCCTCTCTCTCTCTATCCTCTCTCTCTCTCTATTCTCTCTCTCTCTCTATTCTCTCCTCCCTCTATCCTCCCTCCATCCTCCTCTCTCCTCTCTCTCTCTCTCTCTCTCTCTATCCTCTCTCTCTCTCCTCTCCTCTCTCTATCCTCTCTCTCTCTCTATTCTCTCTCTCTCTATCCTCTCTCTCCTCTCTCTATCCTTCCTCTCCTCTCTCTCTCCTCCCTCTATCCTCTCTCTCTCTCTATTCTCTCTCTCTATCCTTTCTCTCCTCCCTCTATCCTCTCTCTATTCTCTCTCTCTCTCTCCTCTCTCTCTCTCTATCCTCTCTCTCTCTCCTCTCTCTCTCTCTATCCTCTCTCTCTTTCCTCTCGCAATCCTCCCTCTCTCCTCTCTCTCTCTCTATTTCTCTCTCTCTATCCTCTCTCTCCTCTCTCTATCCTCCCTCTCCTCTCTCTATCCTCCCTCTATCCTCTCTCTCTCTCTCTCTATCCTCTCTCTATTCTCTCTCTCTCCTCTCCTCTCTCTCCTCTCTCTCTATCCTCTCTCTCTCTATCCTCTCTCTCTCTCCTCTCTCTATCCTCCTCTCTCCTCTCCTCTCTCTCCTCTCTCTCCTCTCTCTATCCTCTCTCTCTCTCTCTCTCTATCCTCCCTCTCTCTCTCTATCCTCCCTCTATTCTCTCTCTCTATCCTCTCTCTCCTCTCGCTATCCTCCCTCTATCCTCTCTCTATTCTCTCTCTCTCTCTCTCTATCCTCCCTCTATCCTCTCTCTATCCTCTCTCTCTCTCTATCCTCTCTCTCTCCTCTCTATCCTCTCTCTTCTTCGTCTCCTCTTCCCGCCACACAGCGGCTCGTATATGCGGGAAGTTTCAGACACACTATACACTCTGTAATGTATACACACCGGCCATAATGGAGGCTATCGACGGCCGGTCGGAAGAGTGATGAATGCGTCACATTAATAATTCATGTGGGTGTTCGGAGTCATGCTGCTGAGGCCGCGGCGAGCTCAGCAGTTTGTGTTCTGGAGCAAACATCACATCCTCGTCGAGGAGTTCAGACTCTGGATGAGAAGGAATCAAATATGTGGATTTTTGATTCGGCTCTTGTGTCAAAAGTTCAGATTTAATCTCAACAGAACTCTTTTCATTTCTCCTCTAAGTTTCAGCTTCCTGTGTCAGAGTGTCCTAACAGCATGAGACACGAGTGAGCATCAGCAACTAATCAGCTGGACTCTTTTGTTAACAGCGTTTTTACCCCGGTCCCCCAGTTTCTAGGTTTCTAGGAGGGAGGAGGGAGGAGGGAGGAAGAAGGAGGGAGGAAGGAGGAAGGAGGAAGGAGGAAGGAGGAAGGAGAAGGGAGGAGGCTCTCTCCTCAGACAGCAGAGCTTGTTAGCTCGTTAGCTCGTTAGCTTGTCTTACAAAGTGGAGATAGTGGTGCATTAACAATATCCACATCATGATTGAAATGTTGACCTCTGACCTGTATCAAAACCGGAAAAAAACTTTGTTCGGCTCACTGCGAGCCGTTCATTGACGAGCCTCTGAGTGTTGAGATTTGAGTCGACAGCTCGTCAATACAAATCAGCTTTATGTCTTAAGTTTTCCTTTAACCAAAGAGAAATCTGCAAACCAGTTCACCTTTCATTGTCCCCTCTTTGATAAGTTACACGTTAAACCACGCCCTGGTTTAAGGCCCTTTCATTGGTCCTGATATAAACGTCTTCTCTTCTCTGATCGTACTTTCTCTTCCAGGTGGAACCTCGCAGACGGTTTAGAAAGTAGATAAATAGAAAAGTGGTCGATGTTTACCTCCTGAAGCTTCGGCGCCCTGCCAGCAATCACACTGTTGTCAGAATGCCGAAGGAATGTGTGGCCAATCAGGAATGCCGGTGAACCAGGCACCTCTTTCATTTGGGCCTGGAGGAATGTCTGCTGGGTAAATGTTCTACATCAATCTTGGGTGAAGGGAGGTGGGGAGATGGGGGGGGGTGGTGGTGGGGGGGGGGATTCCCCTCGTTAGCGGTGTGCGTCTCCACATGCAGCGCGGCCGGCCTTCGCTGACGAGCCGTCAAGAGATAAGAGGAACGAGCTCCCTGTGAGGATACTCTGTGGTCGGCTCTGCGTTTATGCAGCCGAGGATAATATTTCCATTGTTCAGGCTGCATTTATGGACTCGTATATATTATTCATGAATTCCTGAGAGCTAGAGAGCCGCGGCCGGCGTGATGTGTGCATACATGTGCACGCAGGGAAACTTTTTCATCTGCTGACCACGGTGGCTGGACTCCAAAATCAACGCCATGTTTGAACCGTGTGACCAGCAGGATGTGATTGATGGCTCTTAGATCGAGACTCTCTCATTGGCTGATGGAGAGGACAGAAGCAGCTATGTTGCTCCATGATCACAGCTCTGCTCGATCATTGGTAGGCGTTTCAAACCTTCATCAGTTGAGTTTTTCTTCATCTGTGTCTGTCGGTGTTTTTCTCCCACACCTCCCCCTCCCCCCCCGTCACTCCTTAAAAAGCCATCAGTCAACATGGCCCTGTGTTTTACACTCTCCCTCTAACTGGTGTTTGATTAATCTGTGGCAGCCAGAGGTTAGCCAGGCGCTA